TTCTCTCTCTAGCTCTTTTTCCGTTCTGATCACTGACTTGATCGTCTGAGGCGAATATTCCGTTGAACGGAATATTCGTGGTTTTGCAGGTGGGACCAACGTATTGCTAGCAAAGCGTGACCAGTATCCCAGGAGATCCAAAAAAGACCCGAAACATCGCTCTTCTTTCCTTTCCAGCCACCGTGGTTACTATTGTTAGTAGCTTTTTGCTTTGCGAGGTCATCTTCGATTTCAATTCCGATGTCATAAACGGCCTTAAAATTATTCAGATTGTGTTGATATTTTAAGTGCTTTGAATACTTTTCTTGGAGGTTCTTGATAAACATCCTCACAGACTCCTTTTCGGTGGGGACCTCAATCATCTTGGAGGAAGTTTCCCTCCATTTATTGAAGAAAGAAGTAAAGCCTTCATTCTCTTTTTATCTTAGCATCTCAAGTTGTCTATGGTCGGTTTCAACTTGAATATTGCATTTGTACCTATCAACAAAAGCGTTTACTATCGATTCCAAGGTAGAGGTTTTCTCTTTTTCAAGGGAGAAGTACCATTGTTGGCAAACGGTTTCAAGAGATAGTGAGAACAGAGAAGGGAAAACCTTCTTATCGATACTCTTAATGTTCATTATAGTTTCAAAAGCTCTTAGATGAACGTAAGGATTATCCGTTGCCTTGAATTTAGGGATGTCAGTGGCGTTGAACTTATGTGGAAGAAGTTCCTTGTCCAGGGAGACCCCTTGTGAACTCATGCCCTGAAATTTATAGTCAATAGATAGCTTCCTCAAACTTTCTTGCATGAGGTTCATGTGTTGTTGCTTCATGGGATCATCGACCTTAAGGGTGAGAAGCTTCATGTTTTAGTCATGGTAACTAGTTGGTTCCTAAGCTCATTGACTTCTTCTTGAGTTGCCATTATCCTTTTAGCCTTCCTCTTTTTGACGAATCGGTTTATCAAAAAGTGAGACTTGAATAAAGAGGTTGTCCTTGATTAATCGCCCTTCTCTCCTTGACCAAGTACTGTGGAAAAGGAATTTGGGGATACTTATTGTTAATTATTTGACTCAAGATTTATTCAACATGCAATGGATGGAGGAGGTGAAGAAAGATGGAATAGAATGTGAAGAATATTTAGATGGAGGGATATGAAGGATTAGGAATAGAATGTACCCCCCAACTCAAATGACGGAAAGACCGACTCATGCATGAACCTAAGACATGGTCATGGTGATGTATACTCAAAGTGTGTGCTAAGACTAGTGAGTGTAGGTGACATGTTAAGACTCGTGTCATGACCATGTGGCTAGACTATGTGACTAGACTCAAGCAAAGACTAAGTTTAGACTTCACGTATATGCATTAAACTGGACAGACTGTGGTATTTTAGTCATAACTTTTTATCTGTGACTCTGATTTGGATGAAACCAACGCCAAATTAAAGATAAAACTCGGGGCTACAGATCCATAGGTTATACTACTCGTAGTTCTTCCTAGAACTCCGGCTATGACTAAAACAAGTTGACGTTTGTGCAGTATACGGGAATAAAAATCCGGGTTGACTTAAAGGGACTATGACACGATTTTAAGTTTATTTTTTAGCTCAAATTAATTAATTAATTAATTAAACAAAGTCCTTTAGTCATTAATCAGTTTATTTAGTCTTAACACAAGTCAAACAAACGGTTAGGAAAAATCACATAGAGTATGCACAACAAATAATGCACAATTAGTCAAGTAGGCACAATATGATGCAATGAGTTCGCAACCTAACCATGGCTCTAGTTCTCTAAAGTTCGGGATATGGTTTAGTCAATAGAGGGTCCATGTTTAATTGTCCGGATGCACCGCGCGGAAGCCTAACCGTGAAGGGTTGGCGCGAGTGGATGGGACACCGCGAGTTTTAGAAAAAACTCGCTTCCATGGTTTGGTGAATTCAACATCTCGGATGTACCCTTTGTTGCACGGAACGTTCAATCAGGTAGATGGAGCATGAATTCCCAGAAGGTTATGTCCATATGTAGAACACATATGGGTTTCAGAAAAGTGAGAAAAAAATTCAATCAGGAAGTAGGATCGAGCAAACAATACGAAAAACCGGTCGAAATTAGAACGCATATTTCTGGCTCGGTATTGGGGGAAATTGGCGCCAGCAAACACAGAGACTGGCGCCAGCTTTTAACTGTAGCGCCTGGCGCCAATACTGGCGTCTGACGCTACGATTAAATTGCTAGCGCCAAATTTTCCAGTTTCGCGCGGTGTTATTTCAGTCCTAGTTGTGAAAGACGTTTCTCAAATTTCCTACGTGTAAAATCATATGTTTTTAACTCATTACGGATGGTCTTTCCAATGAGATCTTTTTTATGCATATGACAATAATGTTAATCAAAATTACGCACATGAAATACTTAGAACGCTTCGAGTCACATCCACTCATTCTAAATCATTGCCGAAACAAATTCAGGAATTAAAATAAAAATCCTCCCCAGTGGAGTCGCCAAAAACTGTAGGGAATAATTTCAAGCCTTTAAAATCCCACTAGCTTGAACCCCACTGTGATCATACACTAAAGTACGGTGGCGTCCAAAAGGGAAGAAGATAGAGCAAAAGAGTCGCCAACAAGTTTTTTTAGGATGAAGGTTACACCCCTTAACGATCCAAGAGATCGTCAACTCCATAAGGTCTAGAATCAAATAATGGTTCGGGGATGATGGTACAAATCCAACCTAAAAGAGATTGAACCTGCCCTAATAATAGGCCTCTACTTTATTCTGATCATATTTATGTGCGCATTTTAATTAACATGCAATCAATAGGATTAACCCTAAACCTATTTATCTATGTTGGTTGAATTTAATGCACAAATAAACCATTATTGGCGATCACTTGAAATTATAATCACAATTAACCCTAAACAAGATAAGATTATTAATTATCTTATTAAGCGTGATTACAAGTGCCAATTCCCTTTAAACATGCATAAAAGGCGTGATCAAGCAATAAAAATAAATATCAAGCAACATAATAATCATGACAATAAAATTATAATCATAACAATAATAATCATAAATATAATCATAATCAAAATAATATTAATAATATTCATAATCATAATCATCATAAATTACAACAATTATAATCATAATCATATTCATGTTAACATTAAAGCATAATAATAGCAAGGTCCTAGGCATGATACTAACAAGATTAATAACAAACCCTAGCATGTCACTAAGCAATAAAAATCAAATCTTTAACCCTAACATGATACTAACAATCATAAATATTAGGAAGAACATAGGAAGCATCGCAACAATCATATTTAATATTAAAATTACCCTAGACATGATACTAGGAATATCATAATAACAATATAAACATGATGTCTACATCATAACATCAATTAAAACCATTAAAGTATTTACTTTGATGTCTCATACCTCTTTCTAATAACAAAATACACACGTTAGTAACTTCAAGAAAAATAATAAACAAACAATTAAATTAAATAATTGAAAGAGAGATTTGGGACCAAACCCTCAGAAATTAAAACCTTTCACGTCTAGGGCGAAGGCAACTTCGATTATGGCTAGGTGTTTCTAGATCTTGTGAATGCGGAATTTTGTATGAGAAAGGCAAAGTTAGAATTAAGAAAAGAGAGAGAGATTAAAAAACTGATTGTGGATGAATGATCGTGAGAATTGGTGAGAATTGGTGTCTGAAAACGGAGTTTTTGATACGATATTTATAGAGAAAATCAGCCAAAAAGATAAATTAGTAAAACAGAGTCTGATGCTCAGAAAACAGGGCTGGCGCCAACCCTGACTAGCTGGCGCCACGCACCAACACTAGCGCCAGGCGCTAATGGCTAGCGCCAGGCGCCAGGCCTGGTTCCAGGCGCCAAGGCCTGGGGTTAGGCGCCAAGCCTGATTCCAACGCGTTTTCAAAAATCCGATAAGTTTACCGTACTAGAGGATAAAATAATATAATTTCCTCGAAAATGCTATTTGATTTTGATTAAAACTCTAAAAAGTCAACAAAAGTCAATTTATCAATGCTTATTGAATTAGGAATAAAAAGAACCATCTAGAAGAATCTAGAAGACTAAAACCATTCCTAATTGCATTAGGAATGATAAATCATATTAGGCCCTCCCCTAGATCATTGGGCTGTACATAAAGCTCAAACCGGGCCCAGTTTAGTAAATTGGCCATAACTTCCTCAATATTCATCGGAATCGGGCTTATAATATATCGTTGGAAAGGTCTTTGCAAGCCCCATCCAACTACACTACTATTGGACCCATATCATGGACCAAACAAACTGGATTGGCTGTTATCTTAAAATAAGTTTTCAAAAACAGAGAGAAGAGAAAAGAAATAAAAAACTTTCCGCAACACTAGACTTTCCACACTTTCGTTTCATTCAATTATGATTCGACGTGAAAGGTACTCATCACTGGGTTTGGTTTTGGAGAGACACAAATGGGTGTCTACAGGTATGGAAAATTATTTTCAACAAATCGAACATGTCTAGATGTGAATATTTTATTTGTTGTGGGTTCAAGACAATAATAGGCACTTTGACTTAGAGAGTATCCAACAAATATGCATGGTTTGGATTTAGGTTCTATTTTGTTGGTTGTGTAAGGTCGTAGCCATGGATAGCTAAGACAACCAAAGCTTCTTATTTTTTGATAATTTGGTGGTGTCTGAAATAATTTGAGATATGGAGATTTATCTTGAAGTGTGGGAGTAGGAAGTCTATTTATTAGATAGACAACAGTGGAAAAGGCTAAAGGCCAATAAGAGGTGGGCATTTTAGCATGAGATAGAAGGGTGAGACCAGTCTCGACAATATGAAGGTGTCGTCGTTCAGCATACCCATTATGTTCAGGAGTGTGTGGTGGTGAGGTGAGATGGGTAATGTCGTATGATGTGAGATATGGCGTCATTTTCAAGTATTCACCTCCATTGTCGGAGTAAAATTGACGAATAGAACGTTGAAAGTATTTTTCAACTAGTGGTTTGAATTTTAAAAAAATGGGAAGGGTATCAGATTTTTGTTTTAAGGGATAAAACCATATGAATTTGGTGTAATGGTCAACAAATAAACATAATATTTGTGATTATCGTATGAGTACTCGAGACATGTCTAAACATCAGAAAAAATAAGATCAAGTGGTGCATGAAAAGTAAGGGTGGATTTGGAGAAGGGAAGTTTGTGACTTTTATTGCATTGACATGAGTTACAATGTAAAAACAATGATGTAGGAATATTTAGAGAAAAACTAGAATTAAGCATTTTTATTATAGAAATAGATGGGTGTCCTAATCGATGATGCCAATCATGAGTGGAGAGCTTGATACTTGAGTGGACTCTTGGTGGAGGTTGCAGTTCATATAAGCCGGTTCTAGATGGTGCTTGTAGTAGGATTGTCCCCGACGAAGGCTCCTTAATATTAAAAAGAAATGGTAAGAATTCAATAGCAACATTGTTGTCTTTACAAAAATGAGAAATTGATATAATATTTCTAGAAATGGACGGAACATATAGAACATTATTAAGAGTAAATGTACGAAAGGGTGTAAAGATAGAGATGGAACCAGTATGAGAAATTGGTAGGGTTGTGCCATCGCCGATTACGAGTTCCTCTGTGCCTTCGTAAGGAGTATGGAGTGATAGTTTGTTGAGGTCATTGGTTACATGATGGGAGGTTCCACTGTCTAAGAGCCAAGATGTCGTGGGTTTGGTGGTAGTGGTTGTCATAGTGTGGGCTTGCCGAGTAGATGTGTGGTTGGTGGTGGGGGCCGGAAAGGTAATATTTGGGTATTGTGAGGTGAAGGAGGGGCATTTAGAGATAACATTCCCTTGAGCGCGACACCATTGGCAGCGACCAAGGAAAGGGCGAGGGGTTCGATTTGTTGTTGGGTTGTTGTTGTTGTTGTGTTGAGTGTTGCGGTTGGTGCGGTAGGTGTTTTGGTTATTAGTAGGAGGCTGGGAATATGGTTGATTTGGGCGGTGTGAAGGGTGGCGGAAGGACATAGCATGGGCGGTGGGGTTAAATGTAGTGGATGGGGGTAAACTTTTGAGAACAAGCTCACGAGTGATGAGTTTCTCATGAAGCTCTTCAAAGGAGATGGCGGTGTCACGACCATTGACGGCGTCGATGACGGGTTTATAGGATTCGTAATCAAGACCATTTAGAATCTTCTCAATGACATCTTCATGGTCCATTGGTTTGCCCACAGTGGCTAGTTGATCCACACAAGCCTTAATAGCTTGCATGTATTCACTAATGGTTTGAGAGGTGTGAATGAGGTTGTTTAGAGTGGACTTTATCTGTTTGAGATGTCCACGAGATGGGTTGGCATAGGTATTTGCAAGAATAGACCAAGCATCATGGGAGGTGGAAGCAGTGGATATAAGCGGCACGAGATTTTGGGTTAAAGTGCCAACAAGTGCTCCAAGAATTAGCTTGTCTTGGCGCATCCAAGTGAGGTAGGCTGGGTTAGTGGTGCTGACATTATCAGTAGTAATGGTGGTGGGTGGAGCCTTAAGAGAACCATCAAGGTATTTGAAAAGATCATATCCAATCATGGTGGCTTCAATTTGAATCTTCCATGCTAGGTAGTTTGTTGGGGTAAGATGAATGCAATTTTGGAAATTGACAATGATGAATGGTTTGGTCGGTTTGGTGGGGTTTGGGACGGTATTGTTGGTGTTGTTCTCGTTGATAGCCATTGAAGGAGAAAAAAAATTGATAAGTTTGGGATCAAGGTTGTGATACCATAATAATGTTTGAATTGCTTACTTATATTAATCATGCAAAATATACATATATATATAGGGTACAACATAGAACAAAGAAGGAAAGAAAATATAATACATGGAAAGCTTAAATCAAGCTAGTTAATTATACAATGTAATTGTAGGAGAGAATTATGCGATTGCATGATTATGGGGATTGTAATAATTGTTGCCATGTTTAGAAGATGTGCTAGAATATTCCTTGATAAGTGCAACGTTTGCACTTCGCTGATGCCTCCCTCCCTGGTGCTCTCCTCCCTTCGACCTGTAGGGTCGCCACTGTGGTCCACCTATTGGTGGTTCTTCTACCCAGCCACGTTGACCCCCCCCCCAATTTTTTTTTGAGATAATTAATTAAAACAACCTTTGTTTAATTAATTAAAAGTCTTAGAGTATGATTAAACATAAAACGATTTTATGCCTAATTAATTGATTAGATTAAAACTAAAACAAGATCTCATCATGAAGTGTTGCAATCACATTGCAACATTTTAATTAATCAAGGCACCTAATATTTTAAATTTAAATATACATAAAACATTTTTACATGAATTAATAAAATTAAATTATATGTCAAATTGAACCAAATTTTCTTGAAAATTAGGGTTCTACACGACAATGAACAAAACGGCTAAGGTTAGGAAAATAAGAGCAACTAAAATCATCATTTTAACATATTCCAATAAATTAAAAACACTTATTTAATTATGTTATTGAATTCATATTTAAATCCTCCCTTAATTGAATTAAAATTTGTGAACATCAAAGATTAGGATCAATATGAGTAAATGCAAGAGGCAAACTGATACCACTATTGGGTTTTAGGTAACATAATGCGGAATTTCACGAATCATATACGTTTTCACCTAAACAGGATCTACAAGCTGACAAGCATAACACATAAAACAATCACATAATACATACCTTTGACATGTGGATTTCCAAAAGCGATTGACTGTCAATTATGGAGATAATAGAGCCCCAAGCGTTGCTCCTCTACTTTGTCTACGGGATAGGATTGAACCTCCACTACTTTTAGGTAGTTGGGCACGAGCACTTTGAACCACATTCTATGGAGAGGGGAGGAGGAAATCGAGCCACGAACAACCACGACCACCACCTTGCACAACCGTGCACCACCGGCGTGTGCGGTCAGGAGGGAAGAGGAGAGAGTATGTGCGTGAGGCGTTAGGGTTTGGTTGCTAGCAAGTCCATTCTCAATTGACTGCTCAAGTGTGTACCTGACCCGCAAAACTGGAATAAATTATAAATTTACCCGTTGGGTAGCTTGCGGGTCTTCGAGTTTTAGGGTCGGGTCAAACGGGGCGGGTTTTTTTTTTAACACCCCTAGCTCTAGTACCCTCATTAGTAAGAATGGAGTTTAGTAATTGGGATGCCATGAATAATCATCATCGTAGTTATGGGAAGCAAGAGGGATTTGGTGTTGTGCGTATTGGTGGTGGAAAAACAAGATCATATACCACTTATGTTTTGAAGTGTGAGGGTTATGGTATGACAACATACAGGACGAGGGTTAATGGGAAGAGGGTTGTGGTTTATGATGAGCCATCTGCGAAGAAGAAGAGCAAAAAATGCAACTGCCCAGTTATGATGTATGGGCAAGGCAATAATGAAAGTGGGTAGCAGATAAAGAAAGTAGTTAATGAGCACAATGACATAGTGAGTCCTGAGTTGTCAAGACACATTGCAATGTATAAGATGGAAAAATTACTAAGCATTTGGAGCATAGGATTGAAACTAACCATGCATCTGGCTCCCGACAGGGCATATATTCAACAACTTGGCAGCCCAAAGACATGGTGTTGAGAATGTGGGATTCATGAAAAAAGATATTCATAATTTGGTGAATAGAAAGAGGAGGTTAAAGTTAAAAAATGGTGATATCGCGGCTATAGTGGAGTATTTTGACAGAATGATTGCGGATAATCAAAAATTTTTTCACACGCATTGCCATGATGAAAAGGGGAGATTGAAATACATACATCATGTGGATTGATGCCCGGAGTAGGGAGGCATTTTAGTATTTTGGAGATGGTTTCCGCTTCAATTTGACATACTTGACAAACCAGTATGAGCTCCCTTTTATGAACTTTGTTCGGGTCAATCACCATGGTAGACAACCCTACTTGGCTGTGCTTTGGTTTCCCATGAGAATGTTGAGACGTTTAAGTGGCTATTCAAGACTTGGGTTTCTTGCATGGGAGGAAAGCCCCCGGCTGCAATTGACCTGTTGATATCATAATCAGCTTAAGGTATAACTTTGGTAGGTATACTAACAAATCTATTTAATCACCTGTTGGTATCATAATCAGCTTAAGGTATAAATTTGGCTGGTATAGTAACAAAACCATTTAATCGTATGTAGGAATCCTAACAAAGTGTTTTAACATTTTTGTTAGTATTAAATAAACTTAACCAATCACAATCCTAACCATTCAACTAACACTAGGTGAAAAAAGGAGATTGGCACCGAGGTAAGGCCACCGGTTCTTTAAAACCGGTGGGGAAAATAGGGGGAAAAATAGGCGGGATTTTGAGGGGTGGTTTTCTCCACCGGTTCAAACCAAACCGGTGGGAAAAACCATTTTCCCCACCAGTTCAATTCAAACCGGTGGCCTTTTATTAAAAAAAAGGCTCCCTATTTAAACCCTAACCCTAACCCATTTCATTTTCACGGCTTCCCTTAGTTTCTCTCTCCTCTCCCTCTCTCTCATGCTCTCTCGTCTCACTCCTCTTCTCGTCCACTCCACTACCACCACCACCACTGCTACTAACCACCGCTGCCACCAAGACCGACAACACCACCAAGACACCTCAAAGTCCTCCATCCTCTTCTCCTTCTCTCTCCTCTTTGTTTTTTCGGGGTTTGTTTTTTAATTTTAAATTAAGAGTTTAATTTATGGGATTTTTTTTTTCTAGGGTTTTTTTTTGGATTTTAAATTCTGGGTTTTTAAAATTTTCAGGGTTTTTTGAATTTTCGGGGTTTTTTATTTTAATTTCTGGGTTTTTTTTATTGATCTGGTTTTTTTTATTATTTTATTTTTTTGGTTTTACTATTTAACTTCTGGGGTTTTCAATTTTACTGGGTTTTTATTTTAATTTCTAGGTTTTTTTTTTATTTTTCTGGGTTTTTTCGATTTTTCTGGGTTTAATTGTGAGATATTAATCGATTTGGGATTGAATTCGATTTTTCTCGAGTTTTCTGGGTTTAATGTTAGGTTTTATTACCCGATTTTTCAGGATTTTTTTTAGTTTTCTAGGTTCAATCAAGACAATTTTTATGGATTTTTTTTGGATTTTTTTTTAGTTTTCTGGGTTCAATCAAAACGATTTTTTGGGGTTTTTTTTTTGGGTTTTCGGGTTTTTATTTTGTTAATTAAACGATTTTTCTAGGTTTAATCAAAATATGCATGCGGGTTTCTGGATTTTTTTATCGGGTTTTCAGGATTTTTTTTGGGTTTTCGGGTTTCTTGGATTTTTGGGTTTTCTTGTTTTTATTTTGGGTTTTCGAAATTTCTGGTTCGTGACTTTATTAATTTTTTTGTTTTAATTGATGCAGGTTAATTGATTTAGATCTTAATAAATCGAAGAATCAAGATGATCGAATATAAGTTGAAGAATCAAGATGTTGTATTAGGGTTTTTTTATGTTGATAATGTAATTTTTTTTTATTTATATTGTAATTTTTTTATTTATACGTTGTAATTTTTCATTTTCATGTTGTAATTTTTTTTTTTTTTTTTGATTATATGTTGTAATTTTTTCGATTATAATGAATGAAATTGGTCGATTATATTTTATTGATGTTTAATTTTTTTTTTTTTGAGTTAATTGGTTTATTATATTTAAAGTGAAAAAGACAAAAAAAAATTATTACAGGTACATTGCCACCGGTTAACCGGTGGCATTTATATTTAAAACCAAAAAAAAAAAGCGGGAATGTGTTATGCCACCGGTTAACCGGTGGCAATATTGGTTTTTGCCACCGGTTTTGAACCGGTGGCCTTTAAAGAAGCTATTGCCACCCCCCAAATGCCCACCGGTTCAAAACCGGTGGGATAAGGGGGTTTTGAACCAGTGGCCTTGTGTATTTTTCTACTAGTGTAACACTTGAACACATCAACTACTTTAATCAACAAAATAATATTGTTTCCCTACCTCATTTGCAACCGAGATTTCATAGGGCTCGACACTGCCTCGCAGAAACCATGGATGCCTCTCCCCATAAGCCACATCCAACAACTATAAAAACAAGTGGACCACATTTAAATCTAATGCAAAGCGAATAAAATAATAACACTATACCGACTGAATTACAACCGAACCACTTATTTTCAACAACCTATAGTCCTTTTCTTATTTAAATCCTTCTCATACCCTTCCTTAATCTTCTTTGCAATCCATACCTCAATCCTAAGATATACACCCCACTTCATCGGAGTCATATAAAGCCGATCGAGGTAGAATATTTGCAACCAAATTACAAACATCTCACTCAATTTTCTATAAAAACTGAAGACACATATTTTGATGGCCTCCCAGACATCTAAGAAATTTGAATTGAGAAGAAAGAATTAATACTTTATATATATTCATAAAATCAAGGTGTTAACACATAGAGATTGAAAATTGCTTAAAACCCATAATAATAGCAAATTGCCAAGTGATATCAGAATTGAAAATAAATAATCGCGATAAAATAGGTCACATTCTAGATTTGGAAACCAAACAACATGAAGCAACATCAATGGAAGAATTCAAGAAACTAAACAGGATTGAAAATCACCTGGACGGGAAAAGGTTAAACCTAAAATAATTATTTAAATTTTATACCATGTAAAGTAAAACACAAGATAAGTAAAGCATAAGATACCAAAAAAAGAGTGCAATGGCATGCCTACATAACTGAATTCCTCAAAAGAACCCTCCATTTGCAAAAATACGCAAATAATTGATACATAAACAACTATCAGTTGTAGCATAATGCCAATCTCTGACATCCGTGAGACAAACCATGAAATATCAACACAACAAAAGTGACAACCACAAAAACTAATATTAACCACAAAAACTAACCATGAGGAAAAGTGAACAACCACCCACCACTGCAGCATAACCAGAAGCCTCAAATTTTAAAGCAAAGTCCTAACACCTGTCATCAACCACTCGTGCGCCATCGTGCACCAATCGTATTCTCGGGCTTCCACTCCAACACAAACAAGAGGCGCCAGGGAAGCCGCCAAAAATTTTCCACCGCTAGTGGGGCATAACCGCCCCCCAAACATTGCAACCAAGAAAGCAATAATAAAATGATCTTGATCCTTCCTCGTAATTACATGCATTTTTAGAATTTTTTTCAGCAGCCATATCCACGGATATCCTAAACCTACCATTCTTGCATTTTACACCATACAAATCCTTAATTGAGATAGTAATTTTTTCACGAATAGAAAAACCACCATCAGTTACCCACCTAGGAAGATCCTTACGTGCGGCAAGAATACCAAAAATGCAGCGCCATTGTGTAGGGCACAGTGGCACTAAGCTTCCATAACCCATTTCAAAATGTCTGGTGTCACCATCGACCCTACTCATCAACCAATAAGCAAACCCCAGACAGACCTTTGCCTTCTACAACTTAATGATATGGAAAAGGTCACCAAAGCCACATCTTCCGATTATCGCCCGCCTCTCCTTATTCATCGACAACACCTCCAACACTTCACTAATAGCATCAACTTTGCACATGAAGTTTGTGGCTCGAAGAAAAAATTACAAATGCATCATTAATAACACAAAAGCCAACTAAAAACATCATTAAATTCCTGCAAAAAAGTCACCACATTGTACCTTCCCAAAACAGTAAGTTTTTTGCGTAACAACAACTATGCCCTTCTGTTTCACCATCTGACCTTATGACTGAACACCTTGGGATTCCACACCTTGAGAGTAAAACTCGTGTGGCTGAAACACTTGTGGCTGAAACCCTTGGGACTAAAAACCTTGTGACTGGAAACCATGTCGTTGCTGAAACCCTTGTAGTTGAAACCCTTCTTCCTTATCCTGAAATAATTCACAAACAATGTAACCCTTCAAATTGTGATATGAGCTTTTGCTCTATAGTAGCTTATGAACTAAGGGTTGCTAACCTAAACATGCAGTCATGCAGAGTACATGGTGTGATATCTTAATTAACAATCACTAGTGACAATTTGCAAGGAAGAACACTGAGGAGCATACTACTTTATCAACCTCTTTGTTTACCTAAAGATGCCACAGTTTATGATAACCTAAGGTTTCAAATAAGTCATTTGCAGAAAAGGATGCCACGTTAAAATAATTTTATTCCATTAACCTAACCATACCAGAGACATGTTCAACTTTTCTCACGATACCAATATACCATAAAAGTAATGTCCTTTCTCATTATAGGTCGATAAGACGCAAATTGAACTTCAAGACTTCAAATCTTGTGTTATTTATGGCAAATAATTAAAAGTGGTCCTAAAAAGACGATTAGTTCACCTTCCATTGGAAGTCATGCCCCTTGGAATAATCTTCCTGTAAATACAAAATGCAGGAGGTAAAGGTAGAGTATATACCTTTATCCCTTATATGAAGGTATTGAATTCTATAAATAAAAGGCGAGATCCCAGGGAGGCTAGAAGCCCCTAAATTAGCAAGAGCTAATACCAACAAGATTATTCACAAAAACACAAGCAAAAAGAATCTTAACATAAAAAACTAAAAAATTACATTTTCTTCTCATGAATAAGTTCTTATAAACAATGTAACCGTGAAAAAAAATGAAAGAACAACACATAAACCATGAAGACAAAAAATTCAGGGGGAGAGGGGTAAAACTCTTTATGCATACCTGTAGTCATTATCTGCAGTCATTTTATCAAAATACTCCACCATAGCCGAGACATTACCATTTTTTAACTTCGACCTCCTCTTTCTATTCACCAAATTATCAATATTTTTTTCGTGAATCCCACATTCTTAAGACCATACCTTTGGCCCGCTAAGTTGTTGAATATATGCCCTACTAGGGCGCCATATGCATGGTCAGTTTCAATCCTATGCTCGAAATGCTTAGTAATTTTTTTCACCCTATACATTGCAATGTGTCTTGACAACTCGGAACTCACTATGTGATTGTGCTCATTGACTAATTTCTTGATCTGCCACCCACTTTCATTGTTGCCTTGTCCATACATCATCACTAGGTAGTTGCATTTTTTACTCTTCTTCTTCGAAAATGGCTCATCATAAACCACAATCGTCTTCCCATTAACCCACCTCTTGTATGTTGTCATACCGTTACATTACACTTCCAAACATAAGTGTTATATGATCTTGTCTTTCCACCACCTATACGCACAAGACCAAATCCCTCTTGCTTCCCATAACTACGATGATAATTATTCATGTCATCCCAATTACTAAACTCCATTCCTACTTCTGGGGGTACTACAGCTGCTTCTACATATCTATGTGAACCTAAACTCTATAAGCCTGCACTATGTAAATCCACACTACATTCATCCTCGGTAATGGTACATTCAGCAGGAGGGTCCTTATTCAAGTCAAAACCCTCCCATACATCATTATTCAAATCATCATTTAAATCAAAATGTTCACTTTCATCACTGTCTGAACAACTATCTAAGCTACAGCTTACGTATGTGCCCCCCTACATATCTTGGTTCTGGTTCACAACATTACAATCCTAACCAAACTAAACAAAAAGTAATCAAAACATAGTCGTCCCTAATCATAATAAAACACAAAACACCGCTACAAGATCGACACAAGTCATGAAACAGCAGAGAGTAGATATTTCCTCCTATGTAAGTAGTTTATTTACCTTTTACGCATATATAGTTCACATGTACTAACTAGTATTTCATGTATGGTTGTTGGTACTACCAGTTGTACCATTAACCATGTAGATGGTATACAAACATTAACGTTGTTGATATATTTTTTCTTTAGTATGATAATGTGTACCAGCAACACTTGTATTCATACATAATGGTATGTTTTGAATTGTGTATTGTTGCCTAACTAGAAGATAAGTAACTACAAATAAAATACAAATTAATCAATTACTGAAAATTATACTTGTTGACGCCTACTGAAGAAGAAACAAATGTCACCATGTTGTTCAATTTCTCAAAATTTAACTCTCAAATTTTAATTCTCAACATTAAGAAATCCATTTCATAAATATGGAACTAAATAAACTGTTCAATTTCTCACAAAAATTCTCAAAATCCAATTCTCAACTTTAGGAAACCAATTTAATGGGTTAAAAAAAAACACCAATTTAACTTTTTGGGTACAAAATAAAACAAATCAAAATCATAACTTACCTCAATCATCTCACTATCTTTGTTCCCCAAATTACTATAGTCCCTTCAGCCAACCGCACCTACCACCAACAAATTTGCTCCAAAACTTCTTCTATTATCATTTCTAAAGCTGCAGCTCACTCAATTTTCAGGAATTAATTACTCGCAAAATAAGGGCTTCTCTCAAATTTACTTTGGAGCTTCAATTTAATGTTTTGTGCATTTCTCTTGCTTTTAGGTGGGGGGAATAAGGGAGGGAACTCCATTAATTATTTAACCAAAATTTGAGAGGGAAAAAATTGGGGAAAATTTTGAGAATTTTTTTTTCCGCCATAGTTTCATTGTTGTTGCTGGTGAAAATGAGAGTTAACTCTTCTCTTGCCTATCTATGCTAAATACAATGTATACCAAATAATTCACCTTTTCTCTAAAAAAATAAAAATAAAAATAAAAATAAAAAAATAGATAGTAAATAAATAAAATAAAAATCAGGTCGGCAAGAGTTGTGCCAATGAAAAGCTCATTTTTACGGTTGTTTCTTACTTGTAACAGTTTCATCTACATAAGACTTAGGAAAAATTGTAAAAAAAATACAAACTTTGAGGGATCTTCTAAAAACAATGCAAACTTTTAATTATTTCTAAATAATACAAATTTTAAGGGATATCTGCTTTAAACAAGTTGTTTTACATACAACTTATTTAACCGGTTATTTTTTTATTTATCATATAAAGTTGTTTAATAGTTTTAAAAAAATAAATACAATATCACGTGTTCCATATAACCTATTCATATCGGTTTTAACTTGTCTAAAGCAGATAACGGGATAACCCTCAAAATTTGTATTATTAAAAAATAATTAAAAGTTTCACTTGTTTTTGATAATTTTTCCTAAGACTTAAAAGGTTATTTTATTTTATTTTTTAATTTTTTTTTAAGGAAACTTAAAAGGTTAAAGCAGATGAAGTTAAAAACTATGCAAGTGGATTAAGTTGGGGTCTTGGGGAATCTTTAATAATCATGAATATATACGAGAAATAAGTGGGGACAAATATAAGCAATCGATTCTGGGTAATTACTAATTAGACAATTCTGTACCACATGAAGTCATGAATAAATTATTCGGCGTAAAACCAAAGAACCAAAAGTCATGCACTCATGCTGACATAACAATGCTACAATAGTACATAAATTTGCATGCATGAAGAAATTTTTTTTGAAACAATAAGCTAAAAGCTGAATAATGTACACGTACATTATAAATGTTTCACATAATCGTGTTTATGAATTAGTAAATTATAACATGGAGTAATAGCCTAATAGGGTAATACTGTGGCCAGTAACCAGTGGCGGATCTAGCGGGGGTTCAGGGGTTCAACTGAACCCCGTTAGATCCGAGAAAAAAATGGACTTTTTTATTTTAAAAAAAAAAAACTAATAGAAAACTATATAAATAAATATTCTAAACAAACATTTTGAGTGTTAAGTGCGCAGCTCAGTTGGATAGGTCACTAAGTATTGTACAAAATGTCTCGTGTTCGAGACTTTGAATAGGCAGCAGTGGTAGGTTTTTTTATTTTTTCTCCTTTTTTTTCCCTACTCCTCAGTCTCTTTCTTTTCTCTATCCTAAAATAATCTGCATTTTTCATTGATTTCTGAGAAAAATAAGACCAACCCATTTCGATTCATCCTCAAATCTACAAAACCCATGTCTTAATTTCTCGAAATTTTCTTCGAATTTCTCAATTTTTAGCTTCCCTGTTTTCTTTGAAATTTTTTTTCAATCGAAAGTCTGCCATGGCAGCCATCCTCTTCACTCAATCACTCTCTCTGAATCTCTGGCCGCCGCGGCGCCGCAAGTCCACGACCCTAAATCTCTGGCAATTTGCTTCCCTCTCTCTTTTTTCTTCAATTTCTTAAATATTTTAATAAGTTTTTACTTGTTTAAATTAGAGAATTTTTTTTGAGGGAAAGTTTAAATTAGAGATTGTTAATTTGTTTTCTTGTAAGTGTTAATTTGTTAATTGTTGTAGTTGTTTGATTAATGAATTGAATTATTGTCAATTGTATATTATTTTTTCAATTGTATAATGTTAATGTACTACTGAATAACCTATTTGTGAGTTTTTCAATTTCTTAATTGTTAATATGTTGATTTCTTTGTTGTATTGTTAACCGTTAATTAGGCAGTAGAGTAGTGTAGTACTCCTGATTAATATTTTTTTTTTAATTATTTGTAGTGTAGGACCATATATTTGGAGCATTTTTGGAACAAATCTCAAAAATCATCAATTTTTTTTTTATTATTGTAGTGTCGTTTACTTGTGTATTGTATTTATTTGAACACTTTATTTTATACTTGAATCCCCGATTTACATCCGTGCATTCGGACATTGGGTGTTTGATGAAGTTCGAACCCCCTAGGTTCAATTTCTGGATCCGCCACTGCTAGTAACTTAGGCTAATGGTGTTTAGATTTTGGTTAAAGATTTGCCAAAAATGAACTTATATATACGGATTACTTAGAGGGATTAATGTTAAAAATTACAGGTTTTTCTAATGATAATCCAATTTTGCAAGTTAGTATTTTTGTTGTTGTTAAGTTAATAATTGTTTTTATAAGTAGCTAATCTCAAATTATCAATAGATGTGAAGGATTCTTAGGGTCTGTTCTGATTGACTGGACTGAACTGAACTTATTAGAGATGAACTTAACTGAAATGAACTGAACTTATTAGAGATGAACTGAACTGAATATTTTATAAGAGAAAGAAATTAAGAGCTGAACTGAACTGAACTTATTAGAGCTGAACTGAACTTAACTGAACTGAACTTATTAGAGATAAACTGAACTGAACTGAAAATAATCATATTAGAACAGGCCCTTACACAAACTATTATAACTAGAAGTTTGGCCAAATAGGTTAGAGAGGATTTCTAAATTTGGTAAAAAAAGAAAATTATAATATGCCCCCTTCGTCTTTTATTATTTGCACCATTTGATCCAAAAGACTTTCACAAAAAGGGACACATGATGCAAACAAAAAGGGATTCAGGGACTCCCTCCGTCCCACAATATAGTTTCTGTTTTTTTTTTTTGGAGAACCAAAATGTTCTTCCTATTTCTATTTTTGGATAGTAGGTAAAAACCATTATACCCTCACTTTTTTTTTTTTTTTTACTTTATTCATTGTACTTCCTAATTTATCCTTGAATTTTACACTTGTCTTGTACTTTTTTCCACTTTCTCTTTCTAACTTTTGTCTATGATTATATTTTTCACTTTTATTAATGCATTTTATCCACTTTTTCTTCCTATTTCTTAAATACCGTGAAAAACAACAAACAAGAACAATATTACGGGACGGAGGGAGTAGTAGTTACTACGGATTACTCTGCAATACTTGGCTTTAATTTGCATGTCACAACAACAATATACTACCTCCGTTACAGGTTATGTGCAACAATTTGACATAAAGCAGAGAGGAAAATGTCTAATCGTTACACATAACCTGTAACGGAGGTAGTAATAAAAAAAATGAGGCCAATACTCTGATGTTTTCTTAAGATACAATTTATAATTTCCTGTATTTTAACCATTGGTCTTCAGGGCAATAGTCTTAAGTCAAGGCAAAATTGTACTTATGTATTATGTACTCCGTATTACATATTGCAGGTGCATGTTTGGATATTACTCACTACATACGTTGTTTACCCAATTTTGCATACCTTTTTTTAATTTTTAATTTTTTTTTTATTTGAGGGATATATTAGAAATTGATATCAGGTTTCAAAAAAAAAAAAAAAAAAAAAAAAAAAAAGAAATTGATATCATAATAGATTTGTAATCTTCTACTCAATTCATATCTTAGTCTTGTTATTTCTAATAATCATTTTCTTACTCACTCTAATTAGTTCTATGTGTATAGTGACAGACTTGACAGTGTATACCAAACCAGTGTATACCAAACCTTGGTTCCACGTATTGAAAACTCAACAAGTAATAACATTGATAGAAATTGTGCATGTGAATTTCCAAAACTTTACCATTTTTGTAAAACATAAAGTCCCAATTTACATTACATTGATGGTAATTAGTGCATATGGTTTTCCTAAGGGGGAATTACCTTTGCCTTTTGGTATTTGCTCATCCAATCCTCTATAAATAGCCCTTTATTTATGTAGCAAACCCGCACACTATACCAAGAAGCATTTCATACTTTTTACCAAAAAAAAAAAAAAAAAAAAAAAAAAAAAAAATGAAGAATAATCCATGCATTACTTCCGTCCTTTTTTTCTATCTCCTCTTCCTCCTACCTTCCCTCAACCTCGCTCACACCCATGCTCATCCTCATCATCGACCACACCGCTGCTACCCGGCCGACAAACAAGCCCTCCTTGAAATCAAGGCCGGTTTCAGTGGCGGATCTAGCATTTTTTCAACATGGTCACCACACACAGACTGCTGCAAGTGGAGTGGTGTACTATGCAAGAAGATCCCCAAGACAAATATCCGCCGTGTTAACTTCCTCGAAATAAGCGGCTCAGATGAGGTTGTAGGAACAATCCCCACTACCCTTGATAAATTCCCGTACCTCGAAACCCTCATCTTACGACTACTACCCAACCTCACAGGCCCAATCCCACCCGTCATCGGAAAACTCACTAGACTAAAACTCCTCTTCCTTAACTGGGACAACCTTAGCGGCCCCATCCCAAATTTCTTAAGCCACTTAACTCATTTAGAGTCCCTTAGCTTGAACAATAACCAATTTACCGGCTCGATTCCAGCTTTCCTAGGTCGACTCCCTAATATCAAGGGACTCGACCTACAAATAAACCACCTAACCGGTAGAATTCCGAACACATTCGGTTCTTTCGCCAATGGTTCCGCCCTACAATTATCCCACAATAAGTTATCCGGTATAATCCCAAGATCTCTAGGAAAGGTCAACTTCGGAACTCTAGAACTATCACATAATCATCTCACAGGCGACGCGTCCTTCCTGTTTGGGGAGGGCAAGTCCGAGTTGAGTCACTTGGACTTGTCGAACAATCGCTTATCGTTCGACTTGTCCAAGGTAGTGCTCCCCGTGGGGGACATCACTTCTAGCTTGTTTGAGCTAAAGTTGAGCCATAACCAAATATACGGGCGGCTGCCTGCTTGGCTGGGGCGTGCAAATTCATTGGCTATAATCGACGTAAGCTACAACCGACTTTGCGGGCCGATACCCAGAGGGAAGCTGCAAGGGTTTCCTGCGGAAGTATTTGAGCATAATTTGTGCTTGTGTGGTGCTCCCTTGCATCCTTGCAAGTCTTAAGCTAGTTGCGTGCATATGTTGTAACAATGTATGTACTTTGAAGTTTTAACGTGATTAGGTGTATGCTTTAGCTAGTGTGCTAAGTGAGTTCTAGTTTTAGTTATGAGCCAATGAATGTGAAAGCTGAAGAAAAATAATTGGAATCCTTTTAATTTAATTGCGGTTAACGCTTTCATACTCTTTACATATTCTGATATTCTTTCAAGTTTTTACGAGTAGCATGCTAAATTGGACAGTGCTAAAGCGAATACTTGAACCAAGGAATTTTGTGCCTCAAATAACTAGAGTCATGAATGTAATAACAGATTTCCAAATATTACGTTTTCATTAGTTTGAAAATATAACAAATGTAAAAGCTAGTTATATTGGTCTTAATGTGGTATTTAGATGAGACTATATAAGCATAATTTAATACTAATGTGTGTTTTATTTTAGGGTCATTCATAACTCGAGTTATTGGAGATAGAAATGTTTGTAACAAGCTTTAGCTACACGAAGAAATTAACTTTTTTTTTCTTTTTTTTTTTTTTTATTGCGGTTTTCTATTGTTTGGTTCCATGAGAATTTATCATTTTAAATTACAAATATTGACAAGTAATCTCAATACATCATAGGATACTGCAAATCATGACCAATCTGGGGGAAGCTCTGCTAACATTATATTTGAACTTAAGTAGTCTTGAAGTTTTTAAACCTAAATTCCTCAAATGTTTTGAATTTGTTAACGAGCTTTAACTTTGAGTCAAGATAATACTTTCTCCGTTTTTATTTTATTGCACCATTAGGACTTTTACACTATTCACTTAATCTTCTTTGACCATCATTTGTGATTTATACATTAAGAAAAATATAGTCATGTGGGATCTAGTTAGATTCGTATCGAACTCTACTTTTCAAATATCAAATTTTTATAATTTTTTCACAAGTATAATTGAAGATATTAATAGCTAAAGAAATGCATTGGCAAGCGTGAAATCTCTTATGGTGCAATAAAAAAGAACGGAGGAAGTATTAGTTGTCCTTGATTATTAATTTGTTGGAGCATTACTTTTAAGTCAGTCTCGAATATTTTGCAACCTGACTCGACTCATTTGAAGATTTTAACGAGTAATGTACTAATCACTAATGTTTTTATATCAATAGACAAAAAAAGTTGAATTAGTACTCATATTTCAAAAACACCGAGAATACGTGCCAACATATATACACTCATTCAGCAGTACTTTTTTTTTTTTGTATGAAATATGAAGTATATGTACTCTTTTAATTTCATCCCTATGTATTGTTTTTATTTGAATTATTTAGATTCAACTTTAAAAACTTTGACCATAATATGTCCATGTGGGATCAAATTTTTACAGAGTATAATTTTTACGCGTATGAAAATAGAGATATAAACGTTTTAAGATTAAGTGTCTATTCTAATTTATTGAATTGAACTAAGTTGACTTGAACTGAATTAAACTAAATTAAATTGTTTATAAGAGAATGAAATTAGAAATTAATTTAAAATGAACTGAAATTAAGCTGAAGAACACATCCTAAACTCGAAGACTATGAAAAATCAAACGGGACTATATCTAGGGAATGTGGGAATATATACTCCATACTTATTTTACTCCATAGTTCTTTTGTTGCTTTTGTGTGTGTCACGTGTGTTCACTGGTGATGTATAAGCTGACACAAATAGTTACGTATGATTACACAGACCTCTCGCCTCTGCGTAAACAATAGTAGCACCACATGTGAAGAATGCATTAAGTAAAAGAGCACACTATTCTTGACCACAGACTGTAAGTATAGACCTGACATGCATTTGTTTGGCAAGAACATGCGTAATTAAACCAAATCAAGTAATTCGGCTTAGAAATCCATGGTCCATTAAAGAAGATTGAACCCCACACTGATTGAGACGCCTCTGCTTGCCAGCAATACTTCCATTCATCACACGCTTACTCCGTATCCTACTATCTCCGTCCATAATACTTTAATACACTAATACAGAGTATTGACTATTGAGAAATTGTATAGTTGTTTGGGCCTACATTTGCCTAGGCTTTGAGCATATTTTTGGGCTTGGATAATTGATTTGGCCCATTTTAGTTTTAAAATTTTTAGTGAACTTTAATCTATAATTTTAAATTTTGGAAGATAATTGAGTTGATCTGGCAACTTATGATGTTAATTATGAGTAATCCAAATTCGATTTCATCAAAAACTTTTTCTAGTTAGCTCGACTCAAAATTTTAAAGAGTACAAATGAAACTGATTGTTATCGAGTTTAACAAGTACCAATGTACCATAGAAAATTTGATTAGAATTACAACATGTACCAATTAAAGTTGTATAAATCAAATTATAAATAATTTTCCTATTATAAATGGTTTTGTGACTTTTGTCTCACTTAACTAATTCATAAATCACTTGTACTACTTTTTGTACAACAAATTCATACGTAGTACTCCCTCCGTTTCATAATGATGTTCCCGTTTCGCAAATCGATGCAAAATTTTACCTATCTTTGACAGCAAATATCTTTAATCTCACACTAGTAAAAATTATAAAAGTTAGATATTAATAATCTACTCACCAAGACGAATCAAACTAGATCCCACATGACTATATTTGCTCTTATAGATTAAGAGAAATTTAGAAGATTCTCTCTTTCTTAAAAAAGTCAAAGAATCAAAACAGAAAAATCATTGTGGAACGGAGGGAGTAATATGTATCATATATGTAACGGCTAATGATCATTCTTTACTGTACCATTCACCAGACCAACTTTAATTAATTATGTAAAAAAATCTCACAACTTGACTGTTCATATCATGCAATTTATAAATACTTATCTAAACCTTATATAAGTCTCTCCAATTATGCAGTGAACACACAAACAAAAACCACTTAATATTACAATTATGGGAACCAAACCGTATATCTATACCCTCCTCTTCATCACTCTCCTCTTCCTTCTCCCTTCCCTCAACCTTTCACTCTCCCCACCCCCACCACCACAACAACGACGCTGCTACCCGGACGACGAACGAGCACTCCTCCAAATCAAGGCATACTTTGGTAGCAACTTGAGCATGTTCTCAACATGGACATCACAAAACGGTTGTTGCAACAAGTGGAGTGGTGTACTATGCAAGAAGATCCCCAAGACAAATATCCACCGTGTTAATTTCCTCGAAATCATTGGCTCGGATGAGGTTGTAGGTACAATCCCCACCACCCTCAATAAACTCCCGTACCTCGAAACCCTCATCTTAAGACTATTACCCAACCTCACGGGTCCTATCCCACCCGTCATCGGCAACCTCACTAGACTAACATACTTATCCCTTAACTGGGATGGCCTCAACGGTCCCATCCCGAATTTCTTAAGCCAGCTCACCAACTTAGTCGTCCTTAGCCTTAATAACAACCGGTTTACTGGTTCTATTCCTGCTTTCCTAGGTCAACTCCCTAAACTACAGGGAGTTGACCTACAGGAAAATCAGCTAACAGGCCGAATCCCTGAGACATTCGGCCTGTTCGCAAATGACTCACAAATTAACTTGTACAACAATAAGTTATCTGGTACAATCCCAAAGTCCCTAGGAAAGATAAACTTCGAATCCCTTGATCTATCAGGTAATCAGCTCATAGGTGACGCTTCCTTCTTGTTTGGTGAGGACAAGTCCAACTTAGCTCACTTAATCTTATCGAGGAATCGATTGTCGTTCGATTTCTCGAAGGTGGTGATGCCAGTAGGCCAGCTGAATTCATCGTTATCGGTGCTAGAGTTGAGCCATAACCAGATATATGGGAGTCTGCCTACTTGGTTGGGGTAGGCACCCTTGTTGTATCAATTCGATGTAAGCTATAACCGGCTTTGCGGGCCGATCCCGACTGTCGGAGGGAGGTTGCAGCAAAGCTTTCCTGCGTCGTCGTTTGAGCATAATTTGTGCTTGTGTGGTGCTCCATTGCCTCCTTGCAAGTCGTAATTCATCAGCTGCAGCGTTGGAGTCGGACGTTGACTACTTGTGTTGAAATGCTTTGTTTTAAGGTGTTTCTTTTAAATAATTATAAAACGGTTAAACAATGAATGTGAAAAGTGGAAGGAATGTCAAAACCTTTATTTATGTAAAATAAAAATAGATGATACAATCATACAAATTACATTACTGCTGATTGTTGAAGTTATAAATCTTATAATAATTGACCATAATTTTGGATCTATTTATGATACATATTTGTGATTCTTTTTTATGACATGGGGATCATGCATATTAAGCAAAACTAAGTTATGATGGGATCTTGAAACGGCAATTCAATAAATATATCTTTTTTTGTGTGTAATATGTGATTGTGTACCAACTATGATAATTTAGCGAGAGTTTTATAAAAAAAACATATAATTCCTCATAGTAGTTACTCATATGATGTTTAATTTGATGAGATGATATAACCAACCTTTTGTCCTTGACTCTTATTTTACGAACTTGTGATTGGTTATATACTTATATTGACTTATATTATAATCGATAATCTAATTAACTAGTTAGTTTTAATGACTAACTACTGAGTAGCTCGAACATTGTCCTGGGTTGTGATTGTTGTAGAAGTTCAACCAAGAAATTTTATTAAAGGCTTTTTAAAACTGAAATTATTGTTGTCACCAAAATTGAGTTATTATGTGAGTGTTTTTTTTTAAAACGAATTTTGTGGTTTGCATTTATATAAAAGTTTTTAGATATTAATAACATAGTTGATATGAGATTAGATGGTTAAGTAGTCACCATAACAATTATGGATTTATGATAATAAACATTTGTATTTTTTTTTAAGGAAGTACTTTATTACTTATGCTAAGACCTTTTTTTTTTTTTTTTTTTTTGGGAAAAAGTCACTACTACAAAATTGGCCAAAGAGTCCCATCGAAATTGGCCAAAGAGACTGCCTTGGAGGCGGTCTCTAGCGCAGCGGTCTCTTTGGCAAAGAGACTGCTTTATTAAAAGCGGTCTCTAGAATGAGAAAGCTAAGACCGCCTCTTTAAGATAAGTGGTCTCAATTTTGAGGAAATTAAGACTGCCTTTATTAGAAAAGCAATCTCTATTTTTTGAAAACTTAGACCGCTTATCTTACTTAGGCAGTCTCTTTTTTTAGAAAAGTGAGACCGCTTTTTAACTTAACAGGTCTCTTTGGTCACATTCTAAATTAAAAAAAAAATAGTTTATTAGATTTTTATAATTACAATTCATCAATATTAACTTAGATAATTTTATTCATATTTTTCATGATTAAATACGAAGGAGAAAAATAATTGTTGTATACTCCTCAAAAATTACGTACATATATAGCACATATATCAATGAAAATTCAATACATAAAAATTCTGTAAATGATGACTTTTTTTTTTTGACAAAACAACAAAAGCAAAATTTATTACGCTCTTACTCTGCTTATTCCAATCAGCCGGCTTGCGAAACCCAGCATGCAACCGCTTCTGCTTCGTTGACACTTCCCACTCTATCAAGCGATTTGCCTCCAGTCATCATCACATGAAAGTTCAAACTTGAAACTTGAGATTGTTACCTACAACCATAGTCATAGATATGTAAAAGAAAATTTAAAAGAAGATATTATTATCCAGAAATAAATCAGAACAATTATAAAGGAATGAAAAAAAGGGGAAAAACTTAAAATTTAAAAATCAAGATACAAAATAAAATTCGTTTACAATTAAAAAAAATGATAAATTGTTTAATTTAACTAATGAAATACGAGATCTAGAATAAAAGTTGTTTAAAATAATGAATGAACACAAAATCAAAGCAAGAACAAAAAAACTAATTTAAAAAACAAGCTAAAGAACAATTCATCAGGAAAATCTCTAAAAGAAATTTTAAAAACAAAAAATAAAGTATACTAAAACTTAAATTTAAAGAGCTGAAATCAAAATTGAAAATGATAATAGAAATAGATAATCAAATGCGAACATAATAATGACGAAAAATACCATATCTGACTCCATACGAAAGAGCGATAATAACAAAAAATAATAAATCTGACGACTATGATAGAAGTTTTCAAAACAAAAATTTCATAAAAAATGGCGAAAATTGATTTTGAAACGAAAACATTATTAACAAGCAAAATAAACAAACAATCTAATACCATGGCTAAACGAAAAAAACGGACGAATTTTTGATTTTTTAACAAAATAAATGTTAAAAAGCAATTATTATAAGAAATTCAGATTTTTAATTAAGAAAAAATGAAAAAAAAAATGAACACCAACACTTAATAATGAAAAATAATACCATACTCACTGTGACAATAGATCTTGAAACTTTGACATAATTGAGTGAAGATAACTTCTTGAAATTAAGAAGGAATATGAAAGGCATCCCTATTTGAAATAAAGTCTATGAGAATTGCGATGAGTACAAGTGAATCACCGTCGGCGGGAAAGTCCATGGGGCGTTTCAGGGGGCGATCACCGCCAACCCAAGCCCCACCGCTGCAACGACCGAGCCGAAGATGTTATTCAAGCTTGTTTTGAAGGAAACCCATTCAAGACCGATGCATGCGCTCAAAACCTGGGGAGGAGCCAACATAACCTCTCTATTACTTGGAGCTAGATCCACCAAAGAGAGAAGTACAACTTGAATGAAATTTTCAGTAAATTTCTCAATTATTCTGACAAAAAGGGGCATTATTTTGGGGTTTTCCTAATATCTGAACCTGGAGTGTTATGAATGGTGACCATATATGCATCATACACTAAAATTGCTCTCCTTCTCATAAATAAAGAAATACCACTTCATATATGTAGACACCCATTTGTGTCTCCCCAAAACCAAACCCAGTGATGAATACCTTTCACGTCATTTGATTCTCGAATAAAGCAAAAGTGTGGAAAGTCTAGTGATGAGGATGTTTTTATTAAAATATCTATTCTTTCTGTTTTTGAAAATATTTCTTTTTTTTCTCTCTGTTTTTGAAAACCTATTTTAAGAAAACAGCCAATCTTGTTTGGTTTGGTCCACGACAAGGGTCCAATAATGGTGTAGTTGGTTCAGGTTCGAAAGGAGCTTTCCAACGATATATTATAAGCCCAATTCCGATGAATAATGAGGAAGTTATGGCCAAATTACCAAACTGGCTTGGGCCCAATAACATGGTATATCATGAACTCATGAGGCCCAATAATGGGCCTCTAACTTGTTTAACCCAATACTCTTATGTGTGACCTTGTAGGATCCATTCTATAAGGCTTTGGGCCATTAAGCTAGCCCAAAGATCAATTGTCATATCTAGCACCAAACATTGACAACCCTATAGAATGGACTTATTATCTCCATAATAGTGATCCTTGATATATCTAGTAATTGCACTTATCGAAGACATAACTCCTTCAATCTCCCACTTGTCTGAGACAAGTGCGCAATATTCAAATTCCTTAAGTCAATGTGTGTCGATTTGATAATATGATTGCATCTCATGTCGTGATCATATTAGTCTACAAATCTTTTCTTGAAAAACTGAGTGAGATTAACAGAACAAATGATTACTATGTAATGCATTTGAGCACGGCCATGCATTTTATGAATTCTCCCTCTTCAAGGGGCCAAGACACATTCCTATTTAATAGGTAGAATCAATCCAATCTTGTGGCAACCAAAGCTCCCACTCAACTCATGAAGCAACCGGGAAACACCCTTTATACTCCCCAGTTACGGCTGGACGTTGGAGTGTACAACATTTAAATCAATCATTGAATGGAATCAGTGTTCCATTCATGTCAAAGGAATCCACTAATATATCCGGAAGCTCTATACTTGAACTTCAAAGTAGGTCTATAGTTCGATCATGCATCATTCATGCATACCCATGTGATTGATCGAGCTTCACTATGCTCCTATAGCCCATGAAACTGCGCTATCCAATCAATCTTACATGCTAGTCCAATTTATGAAATCATTTATATCCACTTTAATGATTCCGAACTAGGAACTTAAATAATGTATGAATTTAGTTCACCTGTGGGGTTTCATTCAACAGGTTATCAACCTGATAAGCCCATCAATTCATAATTATTTTGGACATTTTATTTAATCTTGAAACCACGATTAAATAAGATTGAAACTTTGTTTCAATTGATAAACATAATTATGCAAATGAATGTATTACACATGTAACTTGTTTTTCTCCAAAAACAAATACAACTTCTAATTACATCATTTGCCTCAATCCAGTTTCATTAGCATGTTTCTCATGCTTTGGAAATGAAAGGGGTTTAGTAAGTAGAGTTCATGAGACATTCTCATAAACATGAATTTCGCAATTTCTAAATTTTATAATCATATTCATCTCCATACATTAAAAATTTTCCTTCGCCCTTTTGCAAAGAACTTAGTAATTTCTAATTTGTATTCCAACGTTACATAGGATTTCGATTGAAATCTATCATCACTTGTTCTTAAAACCACGTGAATCAAATAGACGAGTATATTCCATGGCATGCATGATGCATCCTTTGCGAGTTGCATAAGGATCATCACTCAAAACCTTAATTTCATCAACCTTTCTCAAAGCATTGAATCATTAAGCAACGTGTCATGTTACATGGGATTGAAACTCCTTTCAATATAATGTTGAACCTTATAAGAGTCTTATCAATATAAGTTTCTTAACCAAGCTCAAACATCATTCGAGACCTATCTCTATAGATCTTAAATCCCAAATGTACTCATCTTCTTCTTCAAGATTTTCATACAAAATGCATTAGCCATCACTTGACCCTTCAAGAAATGAATAATTGCTCTCTGTACTAGACCAAGAAGACTTCATAGCTCCCACTAAACATCTTATACACACAAGACCTTTTCTTCATTTTATGAGAACATCAAACGATTTGATTTACTCACAAAATTAAGAACACTAACTCCATGATGCTATGCATCCCTAGGATTATTGGATCTTCAAACTTTTGATTGTATCATATACAAGTCTTCTTTAATGAACAATTTCAATAAAGTGTTTTGAATTCCATCTACCAAATCTTATAAGGTAGTAATCACTAAAATATCTTTAATAGATCTTTGCAACATGACTAATATAAAGTTTTCATCGTAGTCATAGTCATACTATGAATTAGTTGAATCCTTTAATAAGTCTTTGCTTTAGTTAGAAAACATTTTTCTTTCTTGTC